AATCCGCCCCAGCTTACAAAAACTGATGATTTATGAATGTATTCAATTAAATCCAGAAATCCAATTAAATGCAATCAAACAAAAAATTGAATGCAAGAATTCAGCTCCAATTTTATACAACTATAGCAAAACACCAAAATCCGCCCCAGCTTACAAAAACTGATGATTTATGAATGTATTTGAGAAGCAAACCCACCTACAAATTAACCAAAACAATTGATTAGTGAAAGGATTTGCAAAGTAAAATGAAGAAAATCAAGACCAAAATCTGAAAAATTAAGGAACGGTTTTCCCCTTTATAATTCGGCTCAGAAACTTGATCCACACCACAAAGGTATCTCCAATTTGAAGGCCATTATCAATCACACAGACAGATTCACAAAGAAAAGGCAAGAGAGGATTGGTTTGCACTAAGCAGGGAAGTTTTTTCTTCTTCTTGTTTTTGCTCTCGGTTTGGTGTGTTAAATGGAAGGGAAAGGTCTCCTATTTATAGGCTTATAGGAGTGAACGAATTTCACAGGAGTCTGCAAGATTAGATTGAATAAAAACTACAAGATTATATCCAAGCTGAAAGATAGAGCTCATCCAACAAAAACTAGATAAAATTGGTTTGACAAAGATAACGATAATATTTATCCATCTTTCATGTGAATTTCAAATTCCCTCCAAGTTGGGTATTGAGCATCTAACCCAATGGGTTGATTACCTCTAAATACCCAGCATAATTGGGCTACTTCAATTGTGGTGTGGATTTAATTCTTCAATCCTGGGCTTATAGCCTATGAAGTTAAAACGGGCCTCGATTTTTTATCATAACCTAGGGGATTTGGGCATCACTTACCAAACATGCCCAACAATCTCCACCTTGATGCCAGATCATCCTGCAAGTTAGATAAGATAACAAATAGCTTAAGGAAAGAGACTTACAAGTTTGTACCGATGTTTAGAAGATCAAGGCAGCTTCTAAACTTTACCAATGGGAGCACCTTAGCTCCCATATCAGCAGGATTATATTCTGAAAGGACTTTCTCAAGTTTTACCAGTTCTTGAGAAACCATATCTCCAATGAAATGCAATCTAACATCTATATGTTTAGTACGCTCATGAAAGACAGGATTTTTGCATAGGTGAATAGCAGATTGGCTATCAGAATATATTGTCACATTGTCCTTAAAAACACCAAGTTCATTTAATACACCTTTAAACCACAAAGATTCTTTAACGGCTTCAGTAGCAGCAATGTATTCTGATTCAGTAGTAGATAATGCAACAACATGTTGAAGTTGTGATTTCCAACTAACACATGAATTACACAAAGTAAACATGTAGGAAGATGTAGATTTCCTATTATCTCTATCACCAGCATAGTCAGCATCAGTAAAACCTTTCAATTTTATTCCTTCAGTACTAAACTTATATATTAAGCCAACATTGCATGTTCCTTTCAAATATCTAAACAACCATTTCAGAGCCTCCCAATGTTTGGGACCCGGGTTGGACATATACCTGCTAAGTGTACAAACAGCAAAAGCTAAGTCAGGTCTAGTACACACCATTAGAAACATCACAGAACCAATGGCATTTTTATATGGAATTCGTTTCATATATTCTTCCTCTTCTTCATTAGCAGGTGATTGTTCTTTAGATAATATAAAGTGATTAGTTAAAGGTAATGTAACAGGTTTACATTCATTCATATCAAATTTCTTCAAAATTTTCATGATATATGGAGCCTGATGTAAGAATAAAATTGATTTAGACCTATCTCTTTGAATTTCCATACCTATAATTCTTTTAGCATTACCTAGATCTTTCATATCGAATTCATTACTTAAAGTAGTTTTTATATTATTTAACAACTTCAAGTTGGGACCAATCAAAAGCATATCATCCACGTATAGCAATAAGAACACACAGTCATTATTATTTGCATTACCTTGATAGTACAAGCAATGATCAAATTCACTCCTTTTAAAACCAATTGTTTTAACAAACGAATCAAAACATTTGTACCATTGTCTAGGAGATTGTTTTAAACCGTACAAAGAGCGTTTAAGAAAACACACATGATCATATTTTTGTTTATTTTCAAAACCTTTAGGGTGATCCATAAAAATCTTTTCATCAAGTTCTCTATGCAAAAAAGCAGTTTTAACATCAAGTTGTTCAAGTTCCCAATTGAAATGTGCAACTAATGCACGCATAGTCTCAATTGTGGTATCCTTAACAACTGGAGAAAAGATCTCATTATAATCTACCCCTTCCTTTTGTGTGTAACCTTTTGCCATAAGTCTAGCCTTAAACTTTAAACCCTCTTCTTTTGTAATTCCCTCCTTAATTCTAAAAACCCATTTACACGCAATTAATGACTTGTCTTTAGGTCTTGGGACTAATTCCCATGTTCGATTTTTATCGAGAGAATTTATCTCTTCTTTCATCACTTTCACCCAATCCTCAGATTGTTCATTTCTGAAGGCTTCTTCATACGTGTTTGGTTCCCTATCAACTAGTTCTTCATAACTAGCATAAGTAAGCCCAAAATCAGACTCTAATCTTTGAGGCACTCTATGTGTTCTTCTAACTCTGTCTCTAGCTAACTGGTAATCAGATAAAGGGTTTTGCTCTCCTTGATATTCCTCTATAACTTCATCTCTCTCAATATTTTCACTCTGATTATCTTCTAGTTTAGGATTTTGATGCGCCACCTCGATTGAGGTAGTGGGGGTTTGAACACTTAAGGACCTTAAATTTACTTGAGATTCGTCACTAATGTTTTCTTGCTGTTTTTCTCTCAAGGTGTCATTTTCTGATTTTAGACATGGTATTTCAGACTCATTAAATGTAACATCATGACTTATGATAATTTTAACTCCATTTTGACTTCTATCCCAAAGCCTATACCCTTTAACTCCTTCAGGATATCCTAAGAAAACACATTTCCTGATTCTAGGTTCTGGTTTTCCCTCATTTTGATGAGAGAAAACAGCACAGCCAAAAGTTTTTAACATAGTATAGTCAGCACATTTACCATACCATTTTTCATGTGGAGTATCACCATTTAATGCAGTAGAAGGTGTCAAATTAATCAGATAACATGCAGTGATAACAGCTTCACCCCAAAAAGATTTAGGAATTCCAGAACTCAACATCATACATCTAACTTTGTCAAGTAAAGTACGATTCATACGTTCAGCCACCCCATTTTGTTGAGGTGTATAAGGAACAGTTTAATGTCTAGTAATTCCACACTTTTCACACAAATCATCAAAATCATTATTATAGAACTCTAGGCCGTTATCAGTTCTTAGATATTTTATTTTTTTGCCAGTTTGAGTTTCAACTTGCAATTTCCATATTTTGAAAAATTTAAAGGTTTCAGTTTTATCTTTTAACAGATACACCCACACCCTACAAGAGTAATCATCAATTATGGACATAAAATATCTATTACCACCCATTGTAGGATTAGTAGCAGGCCCCCATAAATCAGTATGAATATATTCCAAGACTTTAGTAGTTTTATGCATACCAGATGAAAAAGATGACCTATGATGTTTACCAAGTACACAGTGATTACAGAAAGGCATATTAGACACACAGTCTTTTCCAAATACACCTTTATCATTTAACAGTTTAAGTCCTTTAATACTTATGTGAGCTAATCTATTGTGCCACTTGTGTGTGTCATCAGTGTTGGTCAAATTTATAGAAGAAGTTGAATTTTTAACAATTTCAGCAGTGGTCACATAAATACCGTTTCTTTTAGTACCTTTACATGTGACAAGAGCACCCTTAATCATTTTAAACATATTGTTTCCAATTTTACAGTAAAACCATCAGTTTCTAATACTCCAACTGAAATAAGATTCCTAGCCATTTCAGGAATATATCTAACTCCATGTAATTAAGCACATAACCAGTGCCAAATTTTAATGTGATATCACCAATGCCAGCAATTTTATATGCATGATTATTGCATAAAATGGCATGACCACATTTAGATTCTTGCATATTTTCAAACCAGTCTTTATGTGATGAAACATGAAATGATGCACCAGAATCAAGTATCCATTCATTTAAATATGATTTCATAGTCAAATTTACTTCAATAGGTTTAGAGTTTAATAACACATATACTTCACAAAATTCATCACAGGAAGTAATAACATTTGCCTCATCGTGAACCTTTTCCCTTTGTTTGTTTTTCTCAACATAACAATCTTTGATGAAGTGTCCAGTTTTACCGCAACCATAGCATTTTCTACCTTTAGTTTTATTTCTTGACCTAGATAAACTTCTACTTTTCTTTTTACTACCAGACGCGTATCCACTTTGGTTATCACGGGTTCTTGACTGAGACCTACCTCTCATAATATGAACCTCACCACTTCTTCTCTCGACTCTCTCAGCTCGCATTTCCATTTCCTTACTTCTTAATGAGTCTATGACAATTTCAGGTGTCAAAATATCTCTCCCATATTTAATAGCATTTTTAACATCTCTATAAGTTTCAGGGATAGCATTTAACAAAATTATTGCTTTATATTCCTCAGATACTTTTTCACCACAGTTAATGATATCTTGCACGAGTTTATTAAGGATATCCAAATCTTTTGAAAAATCGATTTTGAAGCTAAAAAAGCTTTCAAGTAGAAAAAGTTTGTTTGGAGTTGACTTAGACACATAAAGTTCCTCCAATTTTTCCCAAAGTTCTTGAGCTGATTTTAATTTACCAACTTTTCTTAATACCGCATCCGACAGGTGTAATATTATAGAGGTGTATGCCAATTCATCCATATTCTCTTTTTCTTCATTAGTCAAGTTTGCAGGATAAGAGTCATCAATAGCTTTGGAAACTTTTTATTGAACAAGAATACCTTTCATTTTTTGTTGCCAAATTGAAAAATCTCCTTTACCATTAAAGACACCCAACTCAAAGTGATGTGTCGACATTTTACTAAAAAATGCACAGAACACAAATTCAGATATGTAAAAGTCACAGGTCAGACAGATTACACGGAGTAACAAGATTCCTATGGTTTCACAATAATACACTATTCTAGAACCCAAGGGTTTCGTGAGAATCGAGTTCTCAGATCAAGGGAAGAACTAGAATAGGAGTCCGGCTACATGTCTAAAATAATACGAGATAACGAAATAACGTTCAACAAATTAATCTAATGAAAATTAAACAGATAATGGCAAGTAATCCTAGGTTCTATCAATAAGCAATGGTTGCCAAGCAATGACAACCTCCAATCCTAATGATCACCCCACACGATGATCTGCTAGTGCGATAATGTAGAGTTTCAGCCAATTTACCAGAGCGGACTTATCTGAGTTCGTAAATTACGAGAGATGCGAATTTACTGCTTTAGACCGCAATTTTTGGCCTAAAGTAATTCAGTAAATATATGGCAATTTAGACCGTTAATCCACCAAGGGCAAAATCATCCAACTTTTTCTACGTAATCTGAAACAGAAAACTTCCAACACGAAAAATGTTAGAAATGACGAGAGGAACAAACTGCCTAAAGACAGTTTCACCGGAATCGCCTCCACGCACCTCCACCAGAGCCTCCACGCGCCGCCGCCACGCACCCTGTCGGGATCACGCGTCAAACACCCAGCACCGCCTTCGCCTGTACATCTCAACCCCGGTCTCCGTTTCACCAATGGACTTCTGGATTGACTGGAAAATGCGTTTGCAGGTTCGATTTTTAGTGCAGAACTGGGCAGTCCATTTTTTTCTTTTTTCTGCCGATTTCTGGTAGATTTTTGGCCGGATTTTCACCACCACCAAGCTCTGATACCAATTGAGATGCAAACCCACCTATAAATTAACCAAAACAATTGATTAGTGTAAGGATTTGCAAAGTAAAATGAAGAAAATCAAGACCAAAATCTGAAAAATTAAGGAACGATTTTCCCCTTTATAATTTGGCTCAGAAACTTGATCCACACCACAAAGGTATTTCCAATTTGAAGGCCATTATCAGTCACACAGACAGATTCACAAAGAAAAGGCAAGAGAGGATTGGTTTGCACTAAGCAGGGAAGTTTTTTCTTCTTCTTGTTTTTGCTCTCGGTTTGGTGCGTTAAATGGAAGGGAAAGGTCTCCTATTTATAGGTTTATAGGAGTGAACGAATTTCACATGAGTCTGCAAGATTAGATTGAATAAAAACTACAAGATTATATCCAAGCTAAAAGATAGAGTTCATCCAACAAAAACGAGATAAAATTGGTTTGACAAAGATAACGATAATATTTATCCATCTTTCATGTGAATTTCAAATTCCCTCCAAGTTGGGTATTGAGCATCTAACCCAATGGGCTGATTACCTCTAAATACCCAACATAATTGGGCTACTTCAATTGTGGTGTGGATTTAATTCTTCAATCCTGGGCTTGTAGCCTATGAAGTTAAAACGGGCCTCATTTTTCATCATAGCCTAGGGGATTTGGGCATCACTTACCAAACATGCCCAACAGTATTGAATTAAATCCAGATATCCAATTAAATGCAATTAAACAAAAAATTGAATCCAAGAATTCTAGATCTGCAACGCTCAAGCTCTTCGGTAATTTCTCATCCAAATCTTCAAGTACTGAAAATAGTGAACAAGTAATTGACTCAGTGTCGCTGCCTAATACTTGTCTTGCAGCGTTTTGGGTGGAAACGACAGTCGAGGGAAAAATATGAAGCCTGCAGAAGGGGATTACTTTACTACAAGGCCAAAGAAATTGAAGTTCACTGAGCAAGATAAGTTGTTGAAGAAGTTTAGGCATACGAAGGTGTTGGTGGCTGCTTTGAATGAGAAGAATCTAGAGATTGTAATGGCTATTATGGAGGAGTTAGTGCCCACGAAGAAGTTGCTGAAATTTGTATCTAATTTGGATGGAAAATGATGAAAATAATGATTTCTGAAATAAAAGGCAAACAGATATAAAAATGCAAAAGAAAATGCAACATTGGAACGTTTGGCACTGTGAACTTCATGTGCAGGGACTAATAACCCAAATTTAAAATATTATTTTCTATTCGAACTGCGCTCTCAACTACCTAAATACGATTTTATTTAATTAAATTTGAATACGTAATTCTTTTTTGTTTAAATTTTACTTTTACTAATACATCATATCGAGGCTCACTGCTTGCCATAAATAAGTATATGTGATTCGGTAGGCAACTTTACAATTCAAGCTCCAAATTATCATACTTAAGCCTTGTTTGATTCCCATTTTTTTATTTCAAAATACATCTTTTTCTCTCTTTTTTTCAACCATATATTTTTCAATACAATAATATTATACGTAAATTCAAAACTTTTCCTTATTCTTTAATCACACATTCTTCATCAAATCACTATTCCAAAATGTATTTTTTTGCAAAAAATGAGCATCGAATGGTCTCTTAATATATCCACTCATGCTCGGGAATATCAATGAATACAACTGATGTGATCCAAATTTTCTTTAATTTCGCAAGTTACCTTGTTTACTTAGGATTCTATTTATTTGGTAATTTTATATTTCTTAGGATTTTAATTTATGGTTTTTACCATATTTTAGGAGTTATTCTTGTTTTTAATTATTTTTTATATTTGCTAGTATAAATAGGATTATTTGATTGTATTTTTAGAAGACTTTTCATATGTTGAATTAATAAAATTCCTGTTGAAGCTTTGCTTCAAATTTATCTTGTTCATTAAATTGAATGGGGCGAACTTATCAAGACTAATCATCTTGTGGCGTTCAAAACATCGGGTTGAATCATTGAATTGTGTAATCAAGGGGTCTTTCGCGTCATCGTTACCGTTGAGTTTTTTGGTTCATCTTTTATTGGTTCAAATCCACAATCTGGGTGTAATTTCAAGATTTTGTGATCAAGAAGTCGTTGGTTTAATATACATTCGGTTGCTTAGTTCAACATTTGAGAATTAGATCCTAAACCTTGGTCGTATTTGAGCGTTCTTAGGATCTGACTCAATATCCTATGGGTTCGATTGCAACATTGCTGATCGGGTTCGCATCAGGTGGTATCAGAGCTTTAGGCACCAGATTCAAAGTTATATCCCTTTGAATATTTTTGTTTTGAGAATTGTTTGTATTCTTCATGTTCTTCGTGCTTTTTCAGTCAGTTTGAGTCCTAGATCTAAAATTCCTTTGTTAGTTTAATTGTTTGTGTTTTTGGTATAAGAAAAAAGTACTATTCATCCGTACCGTAACGTTGTCACTGTTCACGTGTCAAAAATATTTTATTAGTCCATCGAAAATTTTTATTTATTGTCTTAGTCCTCTAACTTCCTGAATATTGAGTCTTGCACAATTAATTGTTATCCCAATAGTTCAAAGCAAGAAATTGTTCTTGAGAACACTGACTGGAAACAATTGAGAGGTGAAAGGTTGAGTGGTGAGTTTAATTAAGGGTAAATGCCTGAAATTGTGCAATTCTTGAGTGAAAATTTTGGTGAGGCAGAAAATTGTGAGAATGTCAAAACGTGAAGCATCCAATTCAAGCAGGATTGGAAATCAATCCCACATGCAGGATGATTTAATACAGCAGTTTGAGCAGATGACGATAAGCATGGAAAGTTGGTTGGAGAAAAAAGTTGGACAGGGCCCTTAGCCGGGGGCAACGGGCAGACATACCACATGGTAGGAGAACGGTTAGGCGAGAGCCTAGGGTGGAGGTGCAAAATGAATATGGGTATGGTAGTGAATGGGATGAGGATGAGTTTGAAGAAGTTGACATGGGAATGAGAAGGAATAGAGGTGATAAGTTGGGACGAAGGGATA